GCAGTCATCTTCAGAAAGAAAAATTCAGATTTGCAGATTATGAGGTGCACCTGCCACCTCTTAAATTTAGCAGCTGAAAAAGGAGTAGCTTCTTTACCAATAAATGTGGATGAACACATTGTTGATATTTATTATAATCTTGAAAGGATTCTAAAAAGGAGGAAAAATTGAAACAGGTCCAACAGCTGCATAATAGCAGTTTACAATTAGAAAACTTGGATGAAGTTATAAAATCAGCTAGGATTGTCACCCAGTGGAGTTTAATTGGAAAACTGAAAGATGCTGAAGGAATTTTAAAATATAGAGAACTGTCTAGAATTATGTTGGCCATCTTGACAGTTCCCTATAGCAATGCAGAGTGTGAGAGGATTTTCAGTGTTGTTGCGAAAACAAGGACTAAATTTAGATCTAATATTAGTGATGACACATTAGAAAACTTTTATTAGTGAAAGCAGGCCTACGTGGCAATTGCTATGAACAAAATTATGAAGTTTCTTTCTTAAAGAAAGCAAAATCTGCCACTGTTTATACCATTTGTACAAAAACTGATTAAAGGTTGTTTTTTTTTTTTTTTTTTTTTTTTTTTTCCCCCTTAACGATGCAAGTAATAAAAATGTTTTTTATGTGTTAGGTATTTTTGTGTTGCTTGCATTTAAGAATTAGTTACTATTTAAAGTTAATTCATTATTAAAAACTATATTTTCCTCATTAAAAAAGTCTTTTTAACATTGTGAAAAATCTCCCGATTTCTTAAATAAATCTCCTGATTTTTGAGTGTCATAGGTTGGCAAGTATGTATTAGAGTCATTAAATAAACATTTTCTATTTTACAGTTATTAGTTAATGTACTGGTTTCAGTTACGTCCCTTTTAGATCTTTCATTTGCGCCTTTTTCTTGGCGATTGGGACACATTAAAGAATGGTGATTTTTATTACAGTACATGCAAGAATTTTTTACTCGACATGTTTCCAAATCTGAAACATCCAAAACAGGCCCCTTTTTAATTAATATATTTTTCTTAGCTTCTAATGTCATATTTCTAGCAGAAAACATTCTTTAGTTGGGTGCCGTTTTTCACAAAAGAGACAGTTAAAATTGCGCTTACCTGGGCTCTCAGAATTTGATGTACTTACTAACGCAGCTGCGGTGGCAGAATCTAAATTTTTATTTAGTGTATCCTTTTTCTTAGAAATATGATTAGAACCAAACCCAGTGCGGGCTAACACGACCATCTCTTCTCCTTTCACTTCTTGTTTCAGAAAATTCATCAAATTTTCAAGGCATCGGTCATCAGGCTGAGGTGTTTCTTTTAAATTTCTGTTTCTCTCCCAAGCAATTAATACTTCTTTGGGCAGGCAGGATTCAACTAAAGGTGTTAAGAAATCACCATACTTCTCTTGCATTCTTCCAAGACTTTCAAAAGCTCTAATCTTGGTTTCTAAATCATTGTAGAGAGTGGGAAGATCTGTCTTCACACGTCCACTGCTTGCATTACGCATAACCATGCTTAGAAGATCTCTGACGTATATCTGTACAAGTAAGTCTTCTCTTCCAAACCTCTCTCGAAGCTGGGCGATTGCTTTCGGATAATTTGACGCCGTTGCTGGAAAGCTCTCCACTACCCGTGCGGCTTTGGACCGAGGAACAACTGCTTGCAGGAGGTACTGGAATTTATCTTCATCTGGAATCGTCGGATCTTCATGGATCTTGGAAAACTGGCTCCAAAACATCAAAAATTCTTTTGCTTCGCCGTTGAATTTCTTTAGTTCGATCTTCGGCAGTTTAAATTTGCGCTTCTCTGGTAATTCAGTAGGTAAAGGATTCTTCAACAGCTTTTCGATTTGAGAACACAGTTCAAAATATTTATCTCTATAAGGCTCAGACGAAATAAAATCTTCTTCATATAGCTTTTCAGCTTCTTTAGATTGTAGAATTAGCGACGTTACTTCCTTTTGGCAAATTTCAAGTCGATTAAACTTGTCTCTAAGCTGTTGTTCCAGAATCGAAAGTAGCTTCAAATCAGGAATATCTGATTTCAGTTCTGCATCAGTTTTTTTTTGCACATGTGGTAAAGGAAGTTCTTAGACATTTTCTTTCGGTTTTAAGCTGTGTAAGCTCCATTTTCAATTTATTTTAGCTGTTATCGCGCCTCACGTCTTGGCACCACAATGATATGTTACGTAAGGCGTTACGTTCGAACAATGGCTAGCTCAGAAGGGATTCGTAAGTCATCTACCTGATGAATTAATAGCTATCTTGTCATAAATGGAGTACTTCATTTAAACTTAAGCAAAAAGATTTATTTACACATAAAGACAAGTTAAAAGAATAAAAAATATTTATCTAGCTACAATATCTAACAACATCATGCAAACATCGTTCTCAGCTAACTAAACCGGAACTATTCGTTTTTCTCTGGCGTCCCATGACGTCAGTCTCTATCTGGCTTTTTGTTCGCTGGCATAGTGATGCCATTCCCAACAATAGTTCTGGCAGTTATCGAGTAACATATTTTTAAACAAAGGTAAAAGGACAAAAGCTGCTGCCTTAAAACACTTACACTACTTGCACTTGTATTTAAAAATATTTGAACAAATATATTAACTCAGTAGTTTTAAAAATACTATAACATTTAAATGGAAGCTGAAATAGAGATATTTCTTTCTTAGTCTTTAAATATGTTAAAATTATTTAATGTATTTTTTTTTTTTTTTTTCATTTTATGCGTAAGTCCTGATTTATACCATGCGTTCATCAACCAATTTATCACGTTCCTCTCAACACTATAGTTAAAATTTCTTATTTTTATGTAGCTTGGCATAATATTTCATGATATGAACCCAAAAACATTATTTCTGGCATTGGAAATTGCTCATTTTATCCATCTAAAATTTACCATCAAGTAAAGTAAGAAGATAAGGCTATTTCATTGTAAGGTACTATGACATGCTATGACTATGCATATCTGAAAATCACATGCTTCTGCCCAACCATCATCAAGTGGCACTGTTGGTTGTTCTGTGTATACACTGATGAGCCAAAACATTATGACTATTGCCACATTTTTCAATGAACTTGTCTGGATGACGTGAAGGTCACGTGATTAAGTAGCAATGGTACTTAGGTGCTGTTGGAGAAGGTAAGGAATCATTCTTTCATTTACTTTTGCAAGTGATGAGTAGATCAGCAGCCTTTCCTTAATGGTCTGGAGACTCGGAACAAGTATCTCTGAAACTGCACAAGTGGTAGGTTGTTCACAATCTGCTGTTAGTATTATGCAAAGTGGATAAATGACGGTGATTAGGTGCTAAGGTGTTGTATGTCAATGCACCATGAAAGAAAAAGGACATCAAAAACTGTCCCACTTTGGACATCAAAATTGGTACCAGACAGTGGCTCAGCTGACAGCTCGTTACAATGCATGTCTAAGTGCATGTGTTTTGGAACACACAGTTCAGCAGACATTATTGGATATGGACTGACATCCCCCTGGTGTTGACCAAGCATCATTTTTAATTACGCCTACAATGGGCCCTGGAACATCGAGACTGGACCATGGATAAGTGGAAGATAATTGCCTGGTCGGATGAACCATGATTTCTTATTCATCATGTTAACGGTCATGTCCATTTTCTTTTGTGTGCTATTAATATTAAGTTGGAGAAAATTCACTGTCCGCGCAGAAAATTTTTCAACATGGTCCCGGACTACAGAACACAATGCATCGGCTGTCCCGTACGCAGTAGCATTAAGACTAGACTCCAATATTGCACTTTCCATGGAAAAGGAAGTTTACCAGAGCCTTCGAAGAGGTTGGACTTCATTCATGCTAATGGTGAATCTGAATCCCATAAAATACCTGCGATCAATTATTGCTCAAATTATACCTGCGAGCTCGTGGCCATCAAAAAGGCCTGTGATAAATGTTGGAATATCTCGACTTTGTGTGACTGCTGCTTAGACATTTCATACAACGCATCTTCGGTCATCTATGTTGGAATATCTCGACTTTGTGTGACTGCTGCTTAGACATTTCATACAACGCGTCTTCAGTCATCTACTAAGAATTTGTGGCATCCATGTCAAAGTTAGTTGCAGCTGTTTTGCAGGCAAAAGGTCAAGCAATGCTTTATTGATTAGGTGATCATAATGTTTTGGCTCTTCAGCGTATATTAATCAATGAGCACTAAGTTTATATTTATGTTCTTGCATTGCTAAATGGTGTTATTTTCATGTTCTTTAAGAAATAGTTGAATAGTTTGCGAGATTTTATTTTAATTATATGTGTAAAAAAGTAAAAAGCTTATGTACATTTGAAAAAGATCTGTGGGATACCCTTAGGCCTGTTTTTGGGGGGATTGACATTAACAGTGGGACAAAATTAAACAGAATCATACTGACACCTGTATGATGCCCAAAGCTAGTGCCACAATAAATTTCAAGCCTGTTTTAATGTCCCTGTCAACCAAACAAGTGAGAAAAGTCACAGAACTTACAGGAATAAAAAATATCTTGTAAATAAAATATGCATAAAATTACGTATCCTTAAATCTGTGATTCACTTTTAAATTGAACACCCTGTAAAGGAAATCATTTCTTATTATTCTATGTGTACTTTTTACTTAGTCTCTACCTAACTTCTTCTTTTTCTTTTCTTTTTTTCCCCCTAACTATATGGGAAATCAACAATCATTATTATTTCAGTTGTGATGTCTCTTTATCAAAGTCTGTTTATTTTTCTTTCTTATTCAATCTAAAAAGAAGAAAGTGATTAAGTCAAATAGAGAAATGCATTTTGGTAATGTTTTTTCATTGTATCTTAATAAGATGTATAGTTGTGATTATAAGGGGGGACAACAAAGGTATCATAGCAGTTTATTCTGTCCGGATTATAAGTCTTACTAGTACTTAATTCATAGTACACTTCACTTACTTAATTTACTTTCTTTACTTACTTAATTCATTGTATAAATTTAATTTAGGGTCTTTTTATTTGCAGGATGTTATTTTTCTTGTTTTGAAAGCAAATCCAGAAATATTGTCAGAGGAACTAGTTTTGAAAATATTCTGTGTTATCTTGCAACAGTGTACCGAAAAGATTGATAGAACTCGTGCAGTAGCTGGTAGTGTTTTTGAAATGCTTTTACACAGGTAATTTTTATTATTCTTTAAGCCTAAAAAATATCTAATATTATTGCAATGCACCTTTTTCTATCAGATTTTCTCCCAACTACCTGAGATTCTTGCATACCACTTTCAGACTCCTCCTGGTAAGGAGTCACATAGTGATCAATAATATAGTACTTTGGTGATACACATTTTACGAATGATGCAAACACGAATAAAAAGTTTTTATATGGCTGTGGCAACAGCCTAAAGACTAAAATGTAGCAAATATTGGGATAAAAGTTTCTGTATATGTAACAAGGTGGGTTTAGGGTTGCCTTAAAACGACAAGGAAAGGCATGGTAGCCATATTTGGCAAGAAATCACCCATTTGGCGACAAAATGGGCAATATTCCATAGACAGATGGAGATCCTTCTAGAACGAGTTTGTTTTAGTTTGGATCAGAATGTTCTCGAAGGCAGCCCAAAAGCTATATAAAGCCTGCCTTTATTCTAGTGTAGTCAGTTGATTGCAAGTCTATCAAGTGTCTCATAGTCTAGCGAGTTGATCGTCAATCTAGTGTCGAGTTGGTGTATTGAGAGTTTGCATCATTGAGGCTATCCAGTGCATCACAAGTTGTAACATGGAAAGTCTTGAGAGTACGTTGAGTTCAGAGAACAATTGAACCGAGTCGGGAGCTGTATTCTAGTGCTTTGACATGAAGCTGTCTTCACTGTTATAGCCGGAACGCTTGTGTTGCTGATTGTTTCAGCATGTTTGTCATCGTTTTTCCATGACTGTAAACTTGTTTTTGAAGCTGTCCTGAATAAAACTGGCTTATAAATTGTGTTTTGATACTTTATCAAGTTTTGTCATCAATCACTTTAAATCTACAAACCCATAAGAATGCAACAACATCTATAAGTGTACCTTGACTGCCTGATTTAAAAAGCTGTCAAATCAAAAATATTATTTTCAATCATTATAGTCAAATTTTATTGTAAAACATTAAAATATCAAGCAACAAAAATGTCTGAAAGCTTTCAGATTTTATATTATTTCTAAAGGGGAGTTGTCCCCCCCCCCATTTACACACACACAAGCATGCTTCAAGAGCATTTGAGCTAATGCCACTTCGGGCTTAAAATATTTAAAAACAGCATATATGTAGAATTTCTTATGGACTCACTTTGAAAACATTGTTTTTTTTTTAATCAAAACTTTCTTAAAGTGTAACAAATAAAAATAAAAAAAAAACCAGATAATGAAACAAAATCAAAATTCAGGCTTCCAGGTGTTCATTTTTGGGCGGAGGACTATGTTACTCAAAATTTGATGGCTGTAGGTACCGTTGTTTTTGACAGTGTTAGAAACATACATACATTAATGCAGATTCTTCATTATTTAAATTTTTTAAAATATAATACAAAATAATAATATTTTGTGGCAACAGTTTGAAACATGATTCAATGCTTTTAGTGATGATTCGATGCAAAATGCCATTTTGAGACTAATAGCCTTTCTGGTTTAATGCTCATTTGCATTAAAAATTAACAAAAACTTCTTATCAGAATGGAAAAGTAACATTTTGGAGGCATTAATGAGTTTTAATGAAAAATGCTAAATAAAGGTTGGCAGATTAAAAATACTAAATAAAGGTTGGCAGATTAGTGAGATATATCTTTTTTTTTAATTTATCAATTTTAATCGTCGGGACTTCAGCGATTCCGGATTATCGGTGTTTCCAGATTATAGATCATCAGTTTAAATCTGGTAAGATGGCATGCAGAAATTATAAAATTAAAAATATGAAACCGCAATTATTGAAATAAAGAGCAATTTCGAAAGGGTATCAAAGGTTAAAAAAAAAAAAGCTTAATATTTATTTGTTTACTTTATAAAACATTTCTTTCAATGCGCACATGCGTAAAGCATACATTACGCATAGTCAAAATTAGAAAATTGCAACCAGAAAAGTATTTGATGTGTATTCGTGATATTTATAATGACGAGGAATTTGATTTAAATCATATCAAAAACGAATACATCGAGATGAAATACTACATTTAGTAAGGAATTATAAGCCAAATAAAATAAAAACATCTGCCCAGAAGATAAGGATAGTGCTGACAGATCAACTTCTAGTTCATTGTGCACCGCGACGTCCCCCTCCCGCAGAGCAGCGTGAAATTAATAAACAGATTTTGGAATGTTTAGAGAAACAAAGGGTATGCCTTTATCCATTTTTTGCAGCAATTCGACTTTTTGTTTGATGGGCATCGAAACATGCTTTCACTTTGTAGATCCTTTGGCAGCTCCAGAATCGGAAATTCTTTTTGACATAATCGAAAGCTTATATAAAATTGCTCTAACAGTCTGCAAAAAATAATAAGCCGGATCCAGTTAGAAGATTAAGGAACAACGCAATCTGCAACATTAACTGAAATAGATAATTAGATAATTTTAGCTTAGCTTATACCGTCCGTTATAGATTAAACGCGCATGCATAAATGCATATGTGCATGCGTAAAGGTATTATGAGCATGGGTAAACGCATTATCTGTTTACGTATGCGCAGAAAGTTTGTAGCTTTGAGGTCTGGATTATGGACGTCTGGATTAAAGACTTTTGACTGTACAAATTTCCAATTTAATTAATTGTTTTTAATTCGAAAATTAAAATACTCTGTTCCCTTAGGTCAAATTTATGTATGTTATGTTCTGCACTTTTTAGATTACTGTACATAATTTGCTTTTGGTTTGTAATGTCAATCTAATAAAAATAAGCTTTGTATTTTGAAATGTGTTTTAAGTAGGACAAAATTTTCTATATTGTAGAAATGCATCTGAGCATGCCTAATGTGTGAGGACTTGTACTAAAATGATATAAATTACAATGAATTCATTCTGTTATATATGTATGTATACAGTGCACATGCAGTATATACATGCATACAAACACACACACATATATATATTAATAAATAAATAATATTGCAGAAAATAAAATTAGAAATAAGCTTTTGGTAATTTCATAAAATAATTAAAATAATATAGACTGACAATAAACAATGAAAAGTCCAAAACTGACAAAATTTAATATAGTGCAATAATAAAAAATATAATAAATTGTAAATATAATTAATATTGTAATACAATAGTAAAAAAATTTTAAAAACTTAAAACTGAAAGATACACAAAATCAATAGAAAGGATAAAATAAGAAAGAAATTATTGTTATAATAAAAAATATATAAGAAGTGTTTTTAAAAAGTAAGCTTTTATTTAAAACTCATGAAATCATTAATAAATTAAAATGAGAAAAATAATTTATCATATAGTTTAAAGGTAACACTAAATTAAATAATTCCCTTTAGTGATTTCATATGCAGTTTTATATTACAAATCATAAAATCTTGGAGCACTTTGGTGAGTTTATAAAGATAATGGCTTATACTTTTAAAAATGCAATTAAACTATTCAGTTTTGTAATTTAGGCAGTCATTGCTTTTAAAATTCATGTTATAAAACTATAGGTGAATTCTCTAAAGAGACTTTTATCTATTATTCCGTTAAATTATATGATCAGTTATTTTTCTTTTTTTAGTGCATTAATTATTGTAATTTTAAATAAAAGCTTATTTTTTAAAAACCCTTTTTTAATGTGTTTTTATTTTTATCTTTTTAATCTTAATGCCATGTTATCAGTCAAATATTCAATTGAAAAATCATTTTTCAGCATTAGCTACTCGCTTATTTACTTCTAACAATTCTGTTATTCAAATGTCTAAATATAACATCAGTTTTAAGAAAATCACAGAAATTATATTAAAAACTTTATTTAAAAGATTTTTCCACTCTGTCCGATGGGATAAATAATAAAATACTAAGAGTTATAGTTTGTTTATTGTTCTGAGGTCGCTGGTTAGACTGTATACTAAAGACAACTTTACAACAACAACAACCAATTTTATTTTGTTGGACTTAATATAGATAAAAATCTAAATCAAAATAATGAAATAATGAGACGTTAGAAGTCTGATTTTTTAACTAACTGAAGTTGCACAGAAATAATGCGCTGTACATAACTTTTATTGCCGCTTAGGAGGCAACATACCGCCCCACGTTACAATATCTATGATATGCAAACTAAATCTAAGCATACAATTCAATATCAAATGCTAACAATTCAGCTATTCATTTTTTTAAGCTTTAACGAAAGACTTAAAGTTAGTAAATCATTTACAGGCTGAAATAAACAATTCAAAAAATTTGATAAAGGTTGAACATTTGCAAATTTTTTCAATAATTATGGTTAGTATATCAATATTTGAAAGAATAAAAATTAAATTTTTTTCATCAAAATTACTAATATATAAGTATAATAAAGAACAATGTATATTTTTTATTAACAATAAAACTAAATCTTAGTAGTTATTCTCAATAGGCAATGAACAAATTTTTGATATTGGCTTTTTAATTGTACCAAATTTTTTGTTATTGACTGCTACTCATATCTTACCATCTTTACCAGGAATTTTCTGATCAATTCTTGCTAGTAACCATTTACATTTACGTAACTGATCATCTTAAATAATAACCATTGTATTTTTCTTTATATTGTCCTTTGAAAAATAATATTTCTTTCGTTGTTGCAAGTGATTAAGATAGTCAGTTATTTATCGTTTCCATATAATCTGTATTATTTTAGTTAATTTTTGCCATCTTGACAATCTGCTTTCTGACAGATCTAAAATTTGAGGTTCTACAATTGAGTTTATGGATCTACTTATTAAAAGTGACCTGGTGTTAAGGGTTCATAATCTAATGGTTCAGACGATAAAGGAGAAAGAGGTGCTGAATTTAGTATTCCTTCAATTTGCCAATTACGGTTAAAAAATTCTTCATAGGTTAGTTTAGCTTCGGAAATAGTTCTTTTAAGATGAAATTAAAAAGATTTGATTCTGGCCTCCCTAATTCCACCGAAATTGGGAGCACGAGGAGTGAATTTTCAAGAGATATTTTCAGATGCCAAATACTTACTC